TTCCCAAAATAGCACTGATGATGTAAGTCATGAGAACATCAGGGTATCAAAATGCTGAATGGTTATTTGGGGAGGTGGTGGAGGGGAAGTTGATTTTAAAAAGATGTGTTATGTACATGTATCAACTCCCCACAAATAAGGTTGAGGGTCCAGCACATTTTTGCTTAAATTTTTGAACACCCATGTTTTCTTACAAGTTTTAACCTATTCTTCATGTATTCTATCTTTCCCTCTCTATTCTGCAGGCTCTCAATATGCTACTATTGTTCAATATGTGTTAAATATAGTACTTGCAGTTGTTCTGTGTAATGGAAAATTCTACCATTATCTGTTATCTCCTTTCCCAGATTTCCCCTTAGAGGCAGGACTTGGAATAACAAGAGTAGGAGAGTAGAAATGGCTTGAACCAGCTTACAGATACGTCCACATGAACTTACAGTAACATGAGCTGATTATGTTAAAAATTAAGGAAGCAATACATACAAATCCACTGTAGGAGTCAAAGACAATATGAATAATATGGTTCTTAGTATATGACAACAGCCAGATTAATGCTGCAATATTTTTATAAGAATATAAGCAGATTAAAACATGAACAAAAATTAACTAGGAGAGGGTGTTTTTAAAGCAAGAGTCAAATACTTTAGGAAAAGTACACAGTATATATAAGTTTAAAGCTCTAGAGAGCAAGATGAAAAGTAGCAACTATTTTACAACTAATACTTATTGAGCATCTACTCAATAAAAATGATGCATTTTACATGCATGAATCCAATCCTTATAATGTCCCCAGGACATAATTACGAATATTATCTTCACTGGGCAGCTAAGGACACTATCACCTGGTAACAGACATCAGCGTGAAATAAATTGAGGAGATGAAGGCAGGAGTCAGACTATGAAGGGACTCCCTCCAGGATTCCATAAAGGAATCGGTCCTCATACTAAGGTAAATAACTGAAAAGTAATAAAGATGAAGGGATTGTTTATTTTGGGTTTTTCTTTTTTCTTCTTTTTTTTTAAGACAGGGTCTCACTTTGTAGTTCAGACTGGCCCTGAACTCACTATGTACCACAGGCTGACCTCAAACTCATGGTGATCCTCCTGCCTCAGCCTCCCAAGTGCTGGGATTACAGGCCTGTGCCACCACCCTCGGCCTACACACGGAGGGATTTAAGACTGAGGGGTGGTTACTAATGGACAGTGAGGGAGAAAGTGGGAAGTATCAGTGATGACACAAAATTTTATTGTTTAACAACAGAAGAGTTAAGTTGTTTACTGGGAGATCAGAACTAGGGAATCAGGTTTTAGGTAAGGAGATGAAGAGTTCAATTTTAAATTAACTGAGGAATCTCCAGACCAGCAAGTAGGGAGTCATCTATGTAAACCTGAAGAGTGAAGAGAGGCTAGGGCTCCTGCTTAGCCTAAGATGGAATCCCTGCCTGGAACTCTTTTTCACGACATTCTTCACACACCTCCCTCTTACTACTGACCAGAGTCTGTGATTTTATTATGTCTGTCTAATGTAAACCTATGATGATGGCAGATTCTTTGCTTGACTGTTAACTATTATATTCCCAATATCTGGCATATATAAATTGTCCATGTGCTCGCTTCGGCACCACATATGCTAAAATATGTAAATTGTCCAATGAATGAACAAAACACTAAGAATCCTATCACAAAAACTCTGACAAACAAATTCATTCTTCTTGTATATGTCCAATATCAAGGAATGTACCAACCATCATAAGGCAATCTTTTGTTTTACAATAGCTTTCTTGATCAACAACTGGGATCTCATCTTAATAAAAAGCTTTTGCACAGCAACAGAAACCACCAACAGAGTGAAGAGACAACCCACAATGTGGGAAAAAATTTTACCAGCTATTCAGATAAAGGACTATTATCTAGAATATATAAAGAACTCAAAAAAATCAGGCCCTTCAAATTTAAAGACCCACTGCAAAAATGAGCATCTGACATAAAAAGACACTTCTCAGATAAAGAATTAGAAACAGCAAATACATGAAAAAATGTTCAATATCACTGGTCATCTGAGAGATGCAAATTAAAACAATGCTGAGGGCCAGGGATTTAGCTCAGTGGTTCTGATGCCTGCCTCACAAGCGCAAGGTCCCAAGTTCGATCCCCAGTACAAAAAAAAAAAAACAAACCAACAAAAAAAACAATGCTGAGATTATCTCACTCCAGAAAGAATGGCTGCTGTCAAGAAATCAACCAATAACAAGTGCTGCCAAGGCTGTGGGGAAAAAGGAACCCTTCTCTGCTGCTGGTGGGAGTGTAGACTGGTGCAACCACTGTGGAAATCAGTGTGGAGATTTCTCAAAAAGGTAAAACTAGAAGTTCCATTTGACCCAGTTAAACCTTTTCTTGGTATCTTCCTGAATTAAAAGCATCATACCACAGTGATATATGCACACTCATGTTTATGGCAGCACAGCTTGTAATAGCCCAAATGCCCATCAACTGATGAGTGGATAAAGATTTTTTTTATACACTGGAGTACTACTCTGCCATAAGGAAGAATAAGCTTCAGACATGTATAGCTAAATGGATGGACTTTGAGACCATACTCTTTAAATGAAATAAAATCGGACACGTGTAAATACTGCATTGTTTCTCTGGTATGAGAAACTGAATGTGGAAATAAGGACTGAGATGTATAATGGATGTTGGGAAATGGGAAGAAAGTGTTCAAATGGGAAGGGGAACAAGGGAGAAGGGAGGGAGAAAGGAAGGAAGGGACAAGAAAAAAAGTGAAAATAGAAGGAAAAAATGGAAACAAAGCTTTTGTACATAGGGAAGGGAGGGGGCTTGAGGGGGGAATGGAATAAAATAAAATAAAATTTATTTTAAAAAATAAAACAGCTTTCTTGGAAAAAACTTTTTTCAAGACAAGGTCTTGCTAAATTGCCCCAGCTGCACTCGAACTTGCAACCCTCCTGCCTCAGCCTCCCAGAGTACTGGGTACTAGGATTATAGGCATGTACCACCATACCTGGCTGATAACTCTTTTGTGTTCAATTGCAAACAACTTATTGGAAACACTGATATGTTGGTGGAGGCGAGCAATCTGGTCCTCCTACCTAAAGATTAACAGTCACGTTGTCCTAAGTCACCTGGCTTAGATGCACCCTAGTTTGTCATCGTCCTTGACAAGTCAGACCCAAAGCTGACACTCCAACCCTCTCCCCACAGATACACAATAGTACCATCAATAATTGTACTTTCAGTAAAAACAGCTCAAACTCCATTAAACTTTCTGACTAGCTCCTTAAAAACTTATAGCCATCAAAAATGCCATTAACAAAACATAATGTTTAGGTATATCAAAATATAAAGTTTAAGTGTATCTAAATACTTGTGGTCAGCCAGCCACAAGGATGAACACCTGTAATTCCAGCACTCTTGGAGGCTGAGGTGGGAGGGTTACAAGTTCAATAGTATTACCAAAAAATATGGCTATTTAAGGTCTCCAAGCCATTTTCTTGGAATTAGGAGAACAATGACCCAATATCATTTTCATGTGTTTACTCCAAAAAATAATGCTTCCTATAACAATCGATCAAAATTCAAACCTGTCATATTTATAATCCCTTTAGGAAACTGGTATGCTAATTTTATTTTTAAAAAGTCAAATGCATCTTTATTAAAATGAAAAACTGGAAACAATATACCCAAGTACGTAAGCGTTGCTGTCAATGACACACCAACTATTAAGTAGCTATTAAAAAATGAGCATTAGTAAGTCTGTCCTATAATGTAAGAGTCATACTATGGAAAAATACTTAGAAAATCAATGGAGAAGGCAGGATAAAACCATGTACCATAATTACAACTACGCAGAGACTCAAATGTTCACATGAACTTGTTCTAGATGGTAATTTTCCCAAAATTTTAATGAATGCAAGTTTATGATTAAAATTGATTAACTTACAAGTTATAAAACTGCTTTTTCCTGACTCTTTTATACTCAGACAAGAACACTTTTTTGTTTCACAAATGAAATGAGAAACATTTTCCTGTACAACTAGAAATAGGTTAGAAGAGATTTAAAGAAGGGATTAATAATCAACATTTTAAAAAAGCCAAATAAGTCCCCTTAAATTTTCATGGATTCTTTGAATTTTTTTTTTTTTCTTTTTCGGTACCAGGGATCAAACTCAAGACCTTGCACTTTCAAGGCAGGCGGCCGAACCACTGAGCTAAATCCCCGGCCCAGTTTCTTGGTTTTTTGAAACAGGGTCTCACTATATAGTTCATCTGGCCTAGAACTCCTGGCAATCCTCCTGCCTCAGCTTCCCGGGATTCTTAGAATGGGGGGGGGGTGTTTTTTTGAGACAGGGTCTTGCTTGGTAGTTTAGGCTGGCAATGAACTCACTATGTAGCCCAGGCTGGCCTCCAATTCGCAGCTATCCTTCTGCCTCTTGCCTCCCCCGAGGGCTGGGATTACAGGCATGTGCCACCACGCCTGGCTTAAAATTCTTTTTTTTTTTTGGTACCAGGAATTGAACTCAGGACTGTGCGCTTGTAAGGCAGGTTGGGGAACCACTGAGCTAAACTCCCGGCCCTAGAATTTTAATTCTAGAATTGAAAGTAAAGGGGGAAACAGTAAAGACAAGTAAATGTAAGAATAACAGTGCCTGAAGTGGAAACCATGAGGAGTTCAAATGACCAAAAAAAAAAGAAAGAAAAAGAGAAAAGATTTCTGGATAGGGACAAATGAATACATTTTCTTTTAGAAAAAGAAAGGATAATTGTAACTGGTTACTTAGACATGCATGATTTTCACCTGTTTAGTGACAGCATCAAAACAAGCTCAGGGTAATTTTTCTAAATTATGGTTGACATGAAATTCTTAAGTAAAATTCTATAAAGTCCAAAAGTTATAAATTAATAAGCTTTCAGATGGGTGAGGACTAGAAATAGGCTTATAAATGATTAAGGTTTAAAAGTAATCAAATTGATGGAAAATATTAAGACAAGAATTTTATTTATAATTATATTCTACCCATTTCTGGTATCAGTCTAAAAGTTCCAATTAAGATGAAAAAATGTGAGTAGTAATCCATTTGATTAAATACGTATTGAAAATCAGACTGATTATATACATTGTCATTGTTTGAAATAAATAGGAAGGTCCAATACAAAGCCTGGCAGGCAACAGAATGGCAGCTCTTACTGATAGTGGTGAAGTACAATATTTTAACATCTGTGCCTGTGTTATACATTTAATATATTTTATGCTGCCATACTCTGGTGGTAATTTTACACACATGTAAAGACTATTTACCAGATTGAGTAAGATTATATGCCAATTTAAAAGGATTGCCCAAAAATTCATGTTTTATCATTCTCTTGGAAAAAGTGGAAATATACAAACAGATGTACTTTTTAGATATGTAAAAGATCACAGAGAGAATACCTACTAAATACTTCTTTCAATTTTATAGATAAGAAAACTGAAGGCCGTGTGTGGTGGCACACACCTGGGATCTCAGCACTCAGGAGACAGAGGCAGGAGGATTACTGAAAGTTCGAGGCCAGCCTGGGATATACAGTGAGTTCAAGGCCATCATGAACTCCATAGTGAGACCCTGTCTCAAAAATCAAAACAAAAATGAAAACAGGGCTGGGGATTTAGCTCAGTGGTTCCGTTGCCTGCCTCAAAACTGCAAGGGCCCGGGTTTGATCCCTGGTACCACAAAAAAGAAGTGAAAAAGAAGAAAAGAAAACCGAAGCCGCAAGGGGTTACAGGGAAGTTCAAAATTTTATCCCTAATTGATGGTAGAACCTATTCAGAACAGGAGCATCTGACTTCTGAGCTTATTCTCTAGTTACACTGAGAATTCAAATGTATAATAGTAGTAAGAATTTGTAAAGCAAACAGCAGACACTTCATTTCTTATACTGTTAAACCTCTCAGGTTATGCTTCATAACCTACTGGCTATAATAATGTTTTCCCTATCAGCTTCATGACACAATGTTCACCATCAAATAAATATGAGTATTCAGGTTGAAAAAATCTCATGGGCTTGCCAATGAAATTATTAATAAATATAAATATTTAACAGTTTCCTTTTATAGACATGACCATAGAAAACTAGGAGTCAAACTGTCAGTGGGTAAGAAGAGTTTAGAGAAAGTATAAAAAAATGTACTAACAGAAAGAGAAAAAAAAGACATCACAGAAGACAGGGAAAGAGGGAAAAAGAAACATTGCTAATGCATGATGTAGTATACCCTGACAAGAAAAATGATGGAAAAAGCCTAGGAAGTACCAAGAACAGCAAAAAATAGCCAAGGCAGAAATAAATACTGCATAAATAGATGAGTGAAAAGGAGTTTTGTACATACATGTATGTGTGCAAAAAATAAGATCAGGGAAGCTCCTTACAAAGCTAAGCATAATTACTATTTGAGCCAACAAGTCCACTTTCTAGGTATATACTGAAGAGATTTTAAAACATATGTCTGCACAAAAACTTGTATATAATTGTTCAGAGGATTATTTCTAATAGCCGAAAGGTGGAAACTACCCAAATGTCCTTTAGTTGATGGATGGGTAAACAAAATGTGGTATGCATGCAATGGAATATTATTCAGCCATAAAAACCAAGGTAGGGGAGGGGATTTAGCTCAGTGGTTCCACCATCTGCCTCGCAACCGCAAGGTCCCAAGTTCAATCCCTGGTACCAAAAAACAAAAAAAACCCAATGTGTTGATTCATTTTACAACATGAAGTCAAGAAGCCAGTCACAAGAGACTACATATTATATGAAAAATCTATAGTGAAAGAAGTAGGTTAGTGCTAGCCTCAGGCTGGGGAGAAAATGTGCGGACGGTGAGATGACAGTTTAAGGATATGTGGTTTCTATCTGGAGTAGTAAAAATGTTCAAAACTGACCCTGGTGATGGTTGAACTACCTTGTGAATAAACTAAAAACCACTGAATTGGACACTTTATTTTTTATTATTTTTTATTTTGGGGGTTTTTTTTGAGACACAGAGTCTCACTATATAGTTCAGACAGGCCTTGAACTTTTTTTTTTCCCCAGTACCAGGGGCAGGCATGGTGTCACTGAGCTAAATCCCCGGTCTTGAACTCACTTTGTAGCCCAGGGTGGCCGTGAACTCCACAGCAGTCCTCCTGCTTTAGCTCCAAGTGTTGGGATTACAGGCGTGTGCCACCATGTCCACCTAGAATTGGATACTTTAAATGCATGAATTGTAGAGTATGTGAATGAACTTTAATGGACTTTTACCAAAAATAAAAATAAACAAAAAAAGTAAAAAAAATTTGAAAACCCAAGTCAGAAATAAAAAATTATCCTGTAGAAAATAGGTCAGTGAGAAAACACATGAAAGTGCCTCCCTGATGTATCTAAAGGACTAAGTGAGGAAGAAAGACAAGATGTGTGAGCTGCCAATTGGTGTAGGTAACAGCAGGTGATTAAACTTGGGGTACTCGCCCTGAGGTATATCTCCAGCCTTTTATTTTATTATTTTGAAACGGGTCTCACTAAGTCACTATTGGCTAGTTGAGGCTCAAACTCATCATTCTCCTGTCTCAGCCTCCCAAGCACTAGGATTAGAGGCATGCACCCCCACACCCAGCTTTATATTTTGAAATGGTCAGAAACATCCTTTGCTTTTTTTTTTTTTGGTGCTGAACATCGAACTCAGGACCTTGCGCTTGAGAGGCAGACAGCAGAACCACTGAGCTAAATCCCCAGCCCGTCCTTTGCTTTTAATATAGTCAATGTTACACTGTCTGGTAAAATTTGGTGTTTAAAATTTGCTAAATACTATGGCAAACATTCATTTCATCAATTATCTATTTTGCATGGTAAAATTCCCATTACATGAGAGACTGGCATAACCATAATTATGACTAATTCATTTTTATATGCCCTGAAGCACTTAGCTCGATGCCTTATACACAGTAGGTATTCAATAAATATTTAATGAATGAAACTAACGAGCATAATCAGAATCCGAGGCTCTGTAATTACAAAATATTACTTATGACAAATTTTAGCCATTAGTAAAAAGTAGAACATTATGCCACATTTGAGATACTTTAATGGATCTTTAAATGCAAATTTTAATTCAGTTAATAACTAAGTTATACACAAGCATAATTTAGTAATTTAGTATGAAAATAAAAAGATCCATTAGAAAGATAAGGATATTTAGGGAAATGCTTAGAAAATGTGATTTTATTCATAGTATATACACCATGAAACAGAGATTTTTCTATTATTTTGGTTATGTAAAAATTAAAAACCTGCTTGTTTTTAATTGAATTTTTTTCATGACAAACATTGAATTTTCACCTATTTTTCCCTGATAATATCTATAGGCTACCAACTACATGATACAATTATGTTTTTAGCATTTAAATTTAAAAGACTATAGCTCAGTATTTAAAAAATAAATTATGGCCTGGGGGTTTAGCTCAGTAGTTAGAGCACATGCTTAGCATGCACAAGACCCTGGGTTCAATCCTCACAACCAAAACAACAATAACAACAAAAAGTTAATTAAAGAGAATCATTATTGAGAGAACAATGAAAATACATTCAACACATGATTTTTAAAAAATCACTCCTTAGAAACCAGTAAGTGGTATGAACATTATTTCACTTAACCTCCTTGGAAGGAATATAATATACTAATATACAAATAAAACTGAATTCTTAGCTTGGAATGATACAGTGGCTATCACTAACTAGATTAAAATAAAGTAAAAAAGAATGGAAGAACACATTAAAAAAAACTTGTCTTTAGCTTAATTGTTGGTGTAGAATGTACGGTTGGGGCTGGCTGCCTGGCAGCGGCTTTGGCCTGGCTTGCTTGGCTTGCCCGCACAGCAGTTTCCAGGCGCACTTTCAACTCAGGAGCAGCCCCCATTACAGTCTTGAAAGCAAGTGGGTACAAAGGTCCAATGTGCATTAAATTCTGGAGTGCGAACTCATGAAGATCTTTGGAAGCTGAACTTGCTGAGCCAAAAGAATTTTCATCCAGCAGGTAAGAGATCAAAGTGGGCACTAGAAGAGCAAGTAACTGGACTCCTGTAAATAACAAACACAGCACAAAGAGCAGTCTGAATTGAGTGTATATGATTATATGATTATATGATTTTTTAAATACTAAGAATATATTTACATATTATTGGGTTCACTAATGTCCTTGAAATAAGTGACCCTTTTTCAAATAAGAATGATAGGTGTAAAATAGCCAAGCACTGTAACCGCAATTCTCAAATCAGACTAATTTGTAGTATTATTAGTGAGCTATATTGATACAATAATAAGCACCATCAGATTATAAATGTTTTGTATTATAGCAAGACTTATAAGAGGAATAGTAAGTAGTTGGCTTTTTAAAAAAATTAAAATTGGGCTGGGGATTTAGCTCAGTGGTTCCAGTGCCTGCCTCGCAAGTGCAAGGACCCAAGTTTGATCCCCAGTACCAAAAAAAATTTAAAATCTAAGCACTCAAGAGGCTGAGGCAGGAGGATCACCACAAGTTCAAGGCCAGCCTGGGCTACACAGTGAGTTCAAGGCCACCCTGAACTGCATACTGAGACTGTCTCAAAAAAAATAAATAAATAAAATCTAAGGCTAAATGTCATACAAAAACAAAGATAGGGCTGAAGTAGAAATCAAAACATAGGGCTAGAGGTGTAGCTCAATGGTACTTGCCCAGTACTACAAGGTCCAGGCTCAATCCTTTCAACCACAAAACAACAACAGTAAACAAAGGTAAATGAGTTCCACCAATGAATATAACATTATTAGGAGGGTATCATCAAATGTATATTAACTTGAAGGCAATATTTTAAACTTACCTTTAGACTTACACACACACACACACACACACACACACACACACACACACACACACACACTTTTTTTATGGGCTGGATATTGAACCCATGCTAGGCAAATGCTCCATCACTGACCTATATGTCCGGCCCTCTTTCTCTATTTTTCACATAGGGTCTCACCAAATTGCCCAGACAGTCTCAGTATGTTGTTAAATTCCTAGATTGGGCTCATATTTGTGATCTTCCTCATTAGCATCCCAGAGTACTGGGATTATAGGGATGTACCACCATGCCAGGCTTAGTACTTAAAATATTTCTGAGTTGAGTCATTCAAGATCAACTTGTAAAGAAGTGCACTAATTTAAAATTAAATTTACCATGAGGACAGGTAAGGAAGAGAATCTTGAAAAGTGGAAACAACATTCAACCATCAGATACTTTAAAAATAAAGATAGTTTAAAAATTTATTCTTTTGGGTCAGGGATTTAGCTCAGTGGCACAGTGCTTGCCTCGCAAGTGCAAGATCCTGAATGATCCCTGGTACCGTAAAAAAAAAAAAAATTATTCTTTCTATAACAATTACAAATCCTATTTTTAAAGAAATAATCTTGATAAAATCAAAACTTAAGCATTAAGAGAAAAAGAAAAGTACATACTAAGCTGCATAAGTCTGGTTAAATGGATCTACATGGTGGTTTTCCATTAAATAAAAAATATAAAAATTTGAAGTACTTTAACAATGATGTTTGGTATTCATACTTAACCAGCTGTATTTGTTACAAGGCTTTTATGAAGAGCAGAATGTATTATTTTATAAATCTATAAAGCAAGTTGGGAAGGTGAGGTAGGAGACTGCAAGTTCAAGTTTAGCCGAGACAACTGTCCCTTAGTAAACTTACTGTTGCAAAGGCCCGTGTCTGAAATCAAATAAGATATATATATGATACATATCTGCATTTTAGACTAGTGACTGGCTTATTTACTGACAGGGTCTCCCTAGTTCAGGCTGGCCTTGAACTCACTGTATAGCTCAGGCTGGCCTCCAACTGGCAGCAATCCTCCTGCCACTCAGCCTCCTGAGTGCTGGGATTCTAGGCATGTGCCACCAAGTCCAGCTGAACTAGTGGCTTTTTTTGTTTTTCTGTTACCGGGGATCAAACTCAGGGCATGCACTTTCGAGGCGGGCAGTGGAACCACTGAGCTAAATCCCCAGCCCTGAACTAGTGGCTTTTTAAATAAAATACTTACTGTTCTGTTCTTCTCCAAGGGCAACCAATGTCTCAAGAACTTTAATTCCTTCTTGAACAGCTAAAAGTTCTGTGTTACTGGCTGGTCTGTTTCTTTCAACAGCTTTTAGCTTTTCAACCACTATTGGTGCTAAAGAATGGATATAGGGAGTTGAAAGGGCACGATTGGAATGTTGGAAGACTGACAGGAGAAGCTGGTAACATTTGGCTTGAACCTATATAAGAAAATCATTTTATCAGTTAACATGTGCAACAGTTTTCATGTAAGTGCTTAACAATCACACTGCACTTTAATATCTACTGAAAAGAAGGGGTGGGGCCAGGGATTTAGCTCAGTGGCACCCGGCTGCACCTGCCTCACAAGCCCAAGGTCCGGAGTTCAATCTCTGGTACCAAAAAAAAAAAAAAAAAAAAAAAAAAAAAAGAAAGGGTAACTGCAGGATGAAAACAGAAGTATCATTTTTCATTAAGAGAAATGGAGAATAATGGAACTTTCAAAAACTAAACAAGAAATTAATTTTAAAATTTCTTATATATTAATTACCAAATCACTATGCTTCTATAATTCACATATTTCTATAGTGTGGCAGAGCAAGTAACCAGGAACTCCAATTTCTGTTTTTAATTCTTCCTTTCTTTTCTTTTTTTTTTTTTTGGTACTGGGGATCGAACTTGGGTCCTTGCGCTTGCAAGGCAAGCGGTGGAACTTTAATTCTTCCTTTAATGTACAACCGTCTCTCTCATTTAACCTAATAGAGTACAGAAGGCAAATATAGGAATAATCTGAAAAAACAACTAGAAAAATAAATTGAGCTGGGCGTGCATGGTGGTGCACTCCTGTAATCCCAGCACTCAGGAGGCTGAGGCAGGAGGATTGATGTGAGTTCAAAATCATTCTAAACTACATTGAAAGACCTTGTCTCAAAAAGAAAAAAAATTATAATAATAAAGGAAAGAAGAACATTTCATCATATATGGGATAAACAGTGGAATAAAATTGTTTCAGTGCTTTGGTAGAATACAAATTGCCAAACTTCACTGGAATCAGAAATTACCAGGGAACATTTAAAAAATGTAGATCTCTGAGCCACAAATCTGGGGACCCTAACTCAGGAAGCTAACAGTAGTGGGCAGCAATGTTCCCAAACTGGTCTTATTTTCCCCGATATACAGCAGGTTTGAGAACGATTAGTTTAGACTTTGATACTATAAAATAATAAAACATGTTTTCTAAACAAATTTTGATTTCTAATAGGTCCATTAAAACATGTAGCAATGTAAATTTATTCTTTAATATCTTTGTTATGTAAATAAATATTGGAAAACATCATAGACTCATGTAAGTCTCTACCAATGACAAGGGGTTAATCAAACATTTCAGATATTGCAGAATTTCTGCATATGTGAGTAAACATACACATGTTTTCTAGATTTTTCCACTTAAAAAGTATACTGCAAATACTTAGGTTTTCATTTTATGTATTACAGTTTTAGGAACCAATCTGAACATTGCTTGATAAAGTATAACTTACCCATGGGTCACATGAATTTAATGCATTTTTAAATCTACTCATACAGCCACTCTGTAATGACTGAACTCCTATTATTTCACTACTAGCAGACCACAAGAAGAGTGCAATTGCTGTTAGCATGCTTACTTCATCAGGCACAGACACAGAATCCTCTGAAAAATAAAGATGAAAGCAAAGTGCTATTTTTAATACAGTTTAGAATTCCAATATTGAACAACTTTCTTTTCCCCCAATATTTTTAGCAGTATTATCTCAATCTCAAAAAAAAAAAAAAAGAAAAGAAAAACCTTGAGCAGTGTATCAATTAAAAATATACATTAGAAGGGGCTGGGGATGTAGCTCAGTGGTGTTGCGCCAGCCTGAGTTCGATCCCCAGTACAGCAAAAAAAAATTAAATAAATAAATAAATACACACACACATTAGAAAATTATCATTTTGAAAGTATTATAGTAAGTGACTCAGGCAAAATGGATGCTAAAACTGTGAAAACAAAACAAAATAAAACTACTATGTGAAAAGTTTGAGGAGAGCAGACAATTGAGATAGTCTCAAAGTATCTCATCACCATTTATTTGTTAATTATAAAACAGAAATGGCAACTTTAAAAATGGACACACATGGCAGCCACCATTTTAACAAAGTTCTTAAACTTAAGATTTCTAATAGAGGCCAGGAATTTAGCTCAGTGGTTTCACCGCCTGCTGAGCAAGCGCAAACTCAAGGACCCGAGTTCGTTCCCCGGTACCAAAAAGATTCCTAATAGAGGGACAAGGCAACATTACATGCCTCTTCATATGATGCAAAGAGAAAGATATAACATTCCATGTGTAGTATTCCTACGAAAAATGCATAAAGAGTTTAAACTGAGAAAAAATATTTAGACTATTCTAAATTGAGGAACAATGTACAAAGTAGATGGCTTATATTTTTTTAAAACATTAATGTCATAAAAGATAAAGGCCAAGAAACAATTAAAGAAAATTAAAGCAACCAAATAAAAAGTTCTAGCTGGGGATTTAGCTCAGTGGTTCCGGTGCCTGCCACGCAAGTGCAAGGTCCCGAGTTCGATCCCCGGTACCCAAAAAAAAAGTTCTGTAAAAGTCATTGTTAGGACAGCTTTTGAAATCTGCATATGAACAATAATAGCACTGTATTTTGTTAAATTGCCTAAATTGTCTAAATTTGCTAATTCTTCTGTGGTTATGTAAAGAAGGTCCTTAAAATATCTATGAAGTATTTACAAAAAGAGTCATGATTACTTCAACATTTTCTCAAATGGTTCAGAAAAATTAATAATAGGATGTGTAGATTATACAGGGAACAATAAAACATGTTTGGCAAAATGCTAACAAGTCTCTAGGACAAGGGTATACCACTGTTCACTATTTTATTCTTGTACCTTTTTTTAAAAAAAGTTTGAAATTTATTTCAAATCAAAGTTTCTAAAAATGAAACATGTAATACAGTAATCTTAAGGGGATTCATTACATTCAAGGAGATTCGTGTACATACATGTGCAAATACTTAAAGATCTCAGCTCTTCTAATAAGAAACAGGATTTCCATCTAGTACAGCGCTTTGTTAAGCAAAGGATCTGCTTCTCTTGTTATACAAATGCCATACAGATATTCTGGTGGCCTCTTCCAGTTACTCCACAACTGACTGTTTCCTGAAAATTCAGGTCTGGACAGAATACCTTAGGCAAGGTAACTCTATTACCAGACTTTTAAATTCACTTCAAATAAATGAATTAGCACGATAAAATATTAAAATCTTTCCTTAAAATTGACAATTAAAAATACTGATTGTGAATTGCTCCCCAAATTAAATTAATATTTGTATTTTTAAACAAATTCTTAATTATTTATTTATGTGTCCATCTATAGATATATATAAGTGTTATATTTAATGTTTCTTCAGTTGGTTCAAATTTTTGTTAAGAAGCAAAATATTATCTGGGCCTGGTGATGTACACTTGTAATTCTAGCACTCAGGAGGCTGAGGCAGGAGGATCGCCATGAGTTCAAGACCAGCCTGGGCTATTGTGAGACTTTATCTCAATCAATCAATCAATCAATCAATGCAAATATTAACTCTTAATAAAACTAAAATAATTTTAGTTACCTTAATACAACTAAAACATTTTCCCTTATAATTTTTAAAAATCACATTATAAAAGTAACACACGTTTATTATTTAAAATATAAGAAGTGTATGGAAAATAAAAATAAAACTTGTAATTCTACTATTCAGTGACAGTTTAGGTTTAATTTCTAGGTTTGGGCTTAATTTTTTCTGGTCTGGGTTAGTTTTATATACTTGCTTATAAACATTAAGATATATATATTATGTAATAGCTATAATGGACATATAATCAAAACTAATACACCATCATGTATAATTTTCCCAATGCCAAATAAGTTATATTTATCATTTTCATTACTGTAAAATAGATACATTGATAAGTAAAATTGAACTTAATTTTTTTATTAACTTTTGATTAACGACAGAAAAGGAGCATGCTTGTATGTTTTCTTGAACCCAAGGCATCCGGTACAGAGTGGCTTACCACTGAGCTACAGCCTCAGCCACAGAATGCATTCTTCAAGGTTCTTTGTATATCCTGCAGAATCGATTCTCTATAATTTTAACCATTTTAAAGTCCCATTAGCAAAATGTGAAAATGATCTTTTGGTACCAATTCCAGCTGATCAGGAAGATGACTTTGAGGCCAGGCAGGGCTACACAGCAAGTTCAAGGCTGGCCCAGACTACATCACAAAAAATGTTCTCAAGGAAACCAAATTTAAAAAAAAAAAAGAAATTTAAGCCAGGTGCGGTAGCACACATCTGTAATCTCAGCACTTGGGAGGCTGAGGCAGGAGGATCACAAGTTTGAGGACAACCTGGAATATATAGCGAGTTCGAGGCCAGTCTGAACTACATAGTGAGACCCTGTCTCTCAAAAAAAGAAAAGAACAAAAACTGTATTATTATTTGTTTAGAGATAGGGTCTCGCTATGTAGCCCAACCTGGCCTCAAACTCGCTATATATTCCAGGTGAGCCTCCTGACTGCAGATGTATGTCATCATGCCCAGCTTGTACTTCTTTACTTACGAAGTTTGGCTGATTTTTTTATATGCTTTATGGTCATCTCCATCTCCTTTTGTCTTTTAATTTGTTTTGTATGATCTATGATTGAAAAACACAGTGAATGTCCAAATTAAAAAATTATAGTAAAAGACATATTTCCACTATCTCCCTCAAAATATAACCATTTGCTTTGAACACACTTATCCCACCTTCTGAGTACTTCTGGAAGTCCTCTTTCTTGGGTGTCTTTAGTTGTGCTGTTATGGCTGCCTCAACATTCTGAGTCAACTGAAAATCTTTATCTTTCAGTCATTTTGACTCTAGAAAGGGAGCTTTGGGGGAAGAAGCCTACAGTGTCAGATCCAGTGAATAAGGTGGATGTGGACACATTGTAATTAATGCTTTTTGAAGGCTGCCTTTTCATTGGATGGCCCTCAGCAGCAGCATTCAGTATATTTCTGACTTCCAGAACTACTTCAGAAAGTGGCAAAAATGACATGCTACGTGTGTTCTAAGCACCGGGTTGGGGGGGGGGTATTTTGAGAGAGACTAATGGCAATGTGTCTCTTACTGTAATATTTAAAAATTTAAACATTCACCATATTTTGAGCATACTCATATACTGATGATATGAACACTGACTTGAATATTGTCAGTTTTCAGCTACTCTTTAATGTAAGACATTTTGCTCAACAGAAGTTAATATCTATATAGAGCAATACAATATTTTCCTCTGCAGTATCTTCCACTGAATTATAGTTGGTCTTCTGCCATTCTGTCACAAAAGGTTTTCTTTGTTTTTCTACTTTGTTGTGTTTTTTGTTTCTTGAGACAAGATTTCACTGTGTAGCCCCGGCTGGCCTCAAAAGCACAGTAACCCCGCTACCTCAGCCTTCTGAGTGCTGGGATCACAGGAGCGTATCACCACACCCAGACTGCTTTCCTGTTTTTTAAAATTTTGTGATATTACTCTTATCTAGTATTTATTTTTATTCATGATATAAGGTGAAGACCTAGCTAGAGTTTATTTCTCCTTCAGCTAGCTGGCACAAAGCATTTGAAGAATAACGAATAACCATTATGGTATATGTTGCTCTCAGGTGAATACACACTGGTTTCACAGCTATCTCTTTTACTCCACTGCCCCACCCACGGACTGTAGACCAATGCACAGTTTATGATAGTGTGGAAGTGTGTTAATAGGCAACATGACAAGTCCTTCCTTATTAGTCTTTGTTTCTCATTTTTGCATTTTATTTATAATACAAATAAAACTGAAGAGGAAAAGTTAAACACAGAAGGAAAATGGATAAAAATATAAACAAGCATTTTCGCCCAAATTAAACACATACCTTAAAAATACAAATTAAAACAGTAAGAGTACATTTTACCCATCATACAGCAAAATGTAAAAGTATGACAATACCAAATACTGGTGAGGATGTAAGGAAATAGAGATTCTTATACATTGCTAATGTAAATGCATATTCATGTGACTGAGTAACTTGGTAAAGTCTGATAAAATTAAAGTTAAAATATGGTATCAGTTCCACTTTGATGGGTATACCCTTGGAAATCTCTAATAGCATCCAGGCATGAGGAATCTAAAAGATGTTCAATGCAGTAATATTTGCAACTGGGAAAATTACAAATAGCAAAAATAGCCATCAAAAGGGGAATGAAAAATAATTGATAAATACATGTAATAAAAAGCTACATAGAGGGCCAAGGATTTAGCTCAGTGGTTCCACTGCCTGCCTTGCAAGCACAAAGACCCAAGTTTGATCCCTGGTACCAAAAAAAAAAGCTACATAGAGCCAGGTATGGGGGCACACTCCTATAAGCCAGTAGTGGGGAGGCTGAGGCAGGAGGATGACAAGTTTGAGGGTAGCCTGGCCTTTACAGAAAATCTGAGGCTACTGTGGGCTACACAGCAAGACTGTCTCAAAAAACAAAACAAACCAAACAAAAACTTCAAAGGAGAAGAAAAATAGGAATTTTATATAACAAAACTGATAGATTTTTAAAATTAAATACTGAGTAAGGGAATACAAGTAAAATGAGGTATTAAGATATTACTTACATAAATTAAAAAATAAGCTTGAATGCTGTATCTTGTTCAGTTATTTGCCTCTATATAATACATATAACGTATTAACAGATAAGTATATTAACAACTTATAAATATTAATATAGGACATCTACTTAATATAAACATATACATATTTTTAGAACTATTTCAATATCAAGACTGCACTTCCAGTCGGGAGTATGTTGGGAGGATGACGGGTATTTTAATTTCTCTACTTTATTATTTTCATTAAAATAAACAACTTGAAGCAAACATAAATACATCAACATGTCAATTGTGAGGACATTTAGTCTCTTTTTCAAGATCTCCCAACACATGTGTAAGTGCTAAGACAAGGGCAGTCAGAGTCAACCTTCCAGAGAGGGGTATTAAAGTTCAAGTCTGAAGGAGGTGACGATGACTGCTGTCTGAGTTGATCCAGTGTTAGACAGCAGTTTTCTGACAAGGTTGTTCAAAAAATTAACTGATTAGGAAACAGATATGCTAACAGATTTAAATTTTTCAAACTCAAATACATTACCTGGTTGAGAATATTCCAGGATGCATGCAAGAGTGCTACGAATCAGAGCTGTCCACTGTTTTTGAGTTTCCTCCGTTTTGGCCATTGAAAGCGTCACGATACTTTTAATCCCTTGAAGAGCTGCACTGACAGGTGGAGGAACCTGATTATCCACAGATTTTATTGCTGTGTCTTTCAATATTCTTGCAATTAAGAACAGAATTGTGGGCAGGATTGTCATACATCCTGAAATGAAAACAAATCAAGTTACCTTATAACTATTTTAGTTCCTCTACTACACTCACTTACATTGTTTACATTTTTACAGTCCTTGGACAGCATATCACTATGCTGTCCAAGCTGGCCCCAACTCCTCAGTTCAAGCAATCCTCCTGCCTCAGCTTCCCAAGTAGCTAGGACAACAGATGTGTTCCACTACACCTGGCTGATAGTGGTTTAATATTATCTTTTTCTTGTTTTTGTACAAAATTTACTGCATTACTATTACTATAATGTAATGTTTGAAAAAGAACATAAAACTGCCATGTTATATTAAAGAAGGAAGAATTAATATTTTTCTTTTTCTAACCTAGCCTTTTTTTTTTTTTGGTACTGGGGATTGAACTAGGGATCTTGCGCTTGCAAGGCAGGCGGCGGAACCACTGAGCTAAATCCCCGGCCTAAGCCTTGTTTTTATTATTTCCATTATTTCACCTAACTGATACCTCATGCTTTTCACAATGAAAATGAGAAAGGAATATAGAAGAAAGAAGAAAAACACTATGATACACTCTGAGAAGCATCTGAGTGACTTGGGAAATCTTAGGGTGATTCTAAGATATGTAATCAACCCTAATGTACTAAAGTCAGTCTGATCAAGCCAGGAAAATAAACACTACTGGGGTAGGCAAAGAGGAAATGAAATGATACTAGACTGTGGCTCAGAGAACGTTTAAAGTCTTCACATCCAGCCCGCATTTACTGGAGGAGTCCCTTCACTACTTTCACGCAGGGCTGTTGCAGCCTCAGCTTACAAAGCTCCGATGACGGAGTCCCAGTCATCTTAGCACATGCAGGTTAACTCTAAGTGCTACAAAGAGTTGGGTTTTCCTTGTGTTGGGCTGAAATTTACCTAGATATCTACTGATACTATTTTTATGTTCCAGATAAAAGAGGGAAAGTCTATTTCCTTACAATAATTATTCAGTAACTGTGCATAGCTATTATCATTATTAGCCTCCTTTCCATCCCTTTCTTTTCTTTATTTTTGTGGTACTAGGGATTGAAGGTGCAGGCCCTTGTGCCTGTTGGCCAAGTGCTCTACCACCCAGTCCCAGCCATATTTTTTTTCTTTTTTTTGAAACCCACTATGTAGCCCAGGCTGGCCTTGACTTCGTGGTGATCCTCCTGCCTCAGCCTCCCAAGTGCTGGGATTACAGGCATGTGTCACCGTGCCCAGCCCATAATTTCTTAGGTACTCCTTAAAACTGGCTGTCACTTTCCTCTGACATTCATTAGTTCTTCAATGTTGCTCATGTATGGCTACCAGATTAGAAAACGGTAGTTTCGCATTATGTCTACCCATTGACATTCAATGTCTCCCCCCAGTCTACAGTTTTATCTGTGATTTAAAACTTACCTGAAAAGATCATCTTAGGCTTTTGGTTTTTTTGAATCTTTAATCTTTAAAGGATCTTAAAGGTAAACAATCCCTTAAAAACGACCAACTTCTCATTTCATATTGTAGATTTAAGAGAAAAATTCATTATAGATGTTTAAAATTCAAGGCAAATACATCTTCGTCTACTATAATCAAATGCATCTCCAAATACTGATTGATACTATACCAGCAGGTGAACAGAGGGATGGTAAATCAGAGAGGATGGTGACTGTGGCTGCCACCAAACGAGCGCTTTCTTCTGACAGCTGAGTTTTAGTGGCCAGGTGACTTGGTGAGTCCGACATCTTGGTACTCAGATGTGGCATATGTCGCACTAAAATGAACATCAGCAGCTCCATACTTGCAAACACAAGAGATTTTCCAGGAATGAGGCCTCCGCTATCACCTCCTTCTCCTAATACGGCACAAGACTCTTTCTCCATATCATCTTCATCTTAGGTAAAAGATAATTTGGTGAAATTTCCAGGAAAAAATACAGTAACAGTAAGTATATTTAAGAAATTCTAGGGCTGGGGATTTAGCTCAGTGGCACCACACCCGCCCCACAAGTGCAAGGTCCTGAGTTTGATACCCAGTACCAAAAAAAAAAAATTCTTTCAAAGAAATTATTTCTTACAAATAAATGTCTAAATAATGCTACACAGGGCCGGGAATTTAGCTCAGTAGTTTCATCGCCTGCTGTGCAAGTGCAGGGACCTGAGTTCGATCCCTGGTACCAAAAAAAAAAAAAAGCTACATGTCATTTTCAGTGTAATTCGCTGGCTTACTAGAATTCTGTATATATACTGACCTCTCCCCTTCAAAGCAACAGACAGCTTCTTTTTTTCTTGAAAAATCTTTGGTAGGTATTTTATTAGGTACTTATTTCATAATAGGAATGGCATATGCTAGCTAGGTTGAACCATATGAAACTGATACTCTTTTTTTTTTGAGATAGAGTCTTGGTATGTAGTTCAGGCTGGCCTTGAACTCACAGCAATCCTGCCCCAGCCTTCTGAGAGCCGAGTTTACAGGCATCTGCCACCACACCGGCAGAAACTGGGACTTTTGAATGGGAAAATACAGTCAAATATCAACAATTTTATTTGGTCCTCTCTAGTGAAAGCAAAATCAATTTCATATCTTCTAAATGTATGATTATCTTTTCTTTTTATTAGAAACTTCCTGGTATTAGTAGTATTTTAAAAATTAGAGTACAAATCAGTTTTAGTTCAGGCTAGTGTAATTTTCAATGCTTACTCAGAGTGCTTCTCTTTTCTTGCAGGTAATCCTGAGCGGCTCTTACTATCTGCTGGACAACTCCAGTCACCAACAGCTGGATGGATGATGGGTTCCAGGTCAGCAGGAGCCGGTGCAAGACACTCAGCAACTCAACACCAATCAGCTGTTATAGATCAACACAAGTGCAATTAACTTTCAAAGGGAAAAATCTTCATTATAAATATCTGATCGAGTATTCATGTGAAAATAAGAAACTTTGCAATTAAAACTAGTATAGGACTGTGTAATTAATCTTGAAAATCTTGAGAACTGGTCATAGTTTATCCTAATGGATTTTCAAGCAACCAATGATTTCAGTATTTAAATATTTAATTAACTTTGATATTTGAGGATAATCATTCTCTACTGGAAAGAAATACTGGAGCCAGAGTTTAGTACCACTGAAATTCACAATTTTCAATTTGACTTCAGTACCTGTGAGGTACCTACGAGAGATGACAGGAATTTCTGGCAAATCCCTCGTCTACTCACCTCAGAAAATTATTACACACTTTTACTTTAAGCCTTTTATAATCTTCCACATCTAATCCATCCACTTAGCCTGCCTCAAATTTCAAAGAGGAAGAGAAAATTTAACTGCAACAGAGGCATTTTTACCTCTTACCTTGAAATCAAGTATCCAGCCTCTTATTCAAGGCTGGTTCATCTTTTCTCATGAATTCTCTCTCCCATATTAACTGACTTTCCAGGAATTCAAGGACTTCAAGCATACCTCATGTCTCTAGGCCCTCTCTGTAGTCAGTACAAGAATGCTGTTCAAGATCTTGTCTAATGCCCTATCCCCGCCAAGCCTCAAAGATCCTTATAGCCTCATCTCTTCCTTTATCACTTCTGCTTCTTCCTTTCCCAGCCGAGATGCTTCTACATTCTTTATTTTCTCCCTGATCTATAATCTGGCTTCTACCCACCGAAAAAAATCTGCAGGTGATCACTAATAGCTTCCTCTGGATCCTTTTATTTCTTTATTTATTGTGTTATTTTTTGACACTGTCATCTACCTTTTTTGAAACGTCTCGTGTTTGATAACTTTGTTCTTTTTGTTCTCCCTCTACTTCTTTAGTAGTTTCCATTGCTGATTTATTTTCCTCTTTTCAATCCTTAAATGCCATTTAGCCCCAAAGTTCGAATCTTGGCCTTCTTTTCTTCTCCATTCATTCATTTATTTTCAATATTTTTATCACTCCATGTTTGCAATATATGCCGATTACTCATGGGAAATCGGCTCATAAACGTAACACATCTTAATTCTCTTTTCCCCTTCCTCCCTCCCTCCATCTCTTGGTCTCCTTCCCTTTTGTAAAAGATCTCCTATTTTCTACCTTTTTCTTTCTTTATTGAATTTTCCCAAGGTAGTGGATTCAATGTTTCTCTGGAATTATGAAACTCCTCCTACCTAGCCTTCCTGCCTCCCTTCTCACCTCTCAGCAGCCAGTGTCTACAAGGTTAATCATGTGATCCTCCTGACATACAGAACTATCACATCATTCCTCTATTCAAATAAAGCCTTGCTCTGTTGGTGTGTAAATCTGATCATGATTTATTTCTCAGGTTGTGGGCTCAGAAATTAAATAACAAAGCAGTCTGTCTTCCTTTAGGTTAAATTTTATATGTTTAACAACTTGGAAACAACATTGAAGATTCTTGTAGTAACTTATTGTTTAGCTGAGGCACAACCTGAGGCTATAAAGGTGGGGTATAAAAAGAGTTAATCAGGCACCAGGTGGCACCGCACCTCCCTTGCAAGTGCAAGGTCCTGAGGTTGATTCCCTGGTAACAACAAAAAAGAGTTAATCAGTAAGTGAATTTTATAATCACATGGCATATATTTTTTGGTTTTGGGTAGCATCATATTTATGTAATGATATCAGCTTTGTATTTTATATGTTTGTTTTATGGAAAAATAACACCATGCTACGGTAGTGGTGGTGCCAAAAGAGATGGTTATTACAAAAATTTTTTTAAATTCCTAATTAGAACTGTTGGGAGGCTGAGGCAGGAAGATCACAGCAAGTTCAAGGCCAACCTGGGCTACACAGTGAGTTCGAGGGTAGCCTGAACTACACAGCAAGAACCTGTTACAAAAAACAAACAACAACAATAACAACAAAAAATCCTAAAAAGAATAACAAATCCAGTGGTAGCTTGATTTTGTAACAAATATCCCTTAATTTTTTAGTTTTATTTGATTGCTGATGAACACATCAAAGACATACTATCTGTAATCTAGCTCTACTTGGTCACGCAAAATTTAAGAGACAAAATTCTGAATCCTAACATCACTATAATTAATGTATAGTATTGGTATTAATTAACATAACATGTTTATTTACAGTATCAGAAAGTTATCCTAAGGTAAATATGATGAAAACAAAGCACACAATTCATCATGTTTTGGGGGGTTTTTTGGTACTGGAGATTGAACTCAGGTCCTTGTGCTTGTGCAGCAGGTGGTGAAACCACTGAGCTAAATCCTCGGCCCTTCATTATGTATTACAGAAATATACCGTACCTGATCTTCTGCAATATGGATTCGTGCGTAAGGAGAATCCAGCAAGGTATGTAAGGCCTGCAGGCATGCTGTAACATGTTCAATAGGTTCCTCAGGTCTGGGGGAACAAAGAAACTGTATACTCACACCTGAAATGCACAGAATAAAAACATGGGTTTTCAATATAAAACACTCATGTTGCTTTGACACCATATTTTCTCTATTTTTTTCTTTTACAGGTTAATACATCTTTAATGCCTTATAGTTCAAAATTATTTCTAAGCTAAATAGACACACTCAACACAAAGTTTTAGTTTTCCAATTAGGCTAATATTCAAACTAGGTATACACAGGAAAAGGAATTCCCATACCACAAAGTTGATAATGAAGATAATTCACTTTTCTATTTTAAGGACATTTAAAAATGATAGTACATTAAAAATAAATTTGTGACCGGAGCCTGCCTCATAAGCTCAAGGTCCTGAGTTTGATCCCTGGTACCAAAAATAAATAAATAAACAAACTTGTGAATATTATAAAATATCCTTCATTAAATGGTTGCCAAACAATTTTGTATACATACAGTTTGTTTCATTTTGTTTTGCAGTACTGGGGATTGACCTCAAGGCCTTCACACTGGGCTACATCCTTAGCCCTTTTAAAAAATTTTTATTTTGAGACAAGTTCTTGCTAAATTGCCCAGTCTGTGCTCAAACTTCTGATCCTTGTGCCTCAGCCTCCCAGAGTGCTGAGATTACCAGTGCGTGTCACCACACCCAGCCTACATGTAACTTTTTTTTAATGGCAAGCTAGAATAGATGTCATGGATAACAACTGTTCTTAATGTATACAGGGTAAGGTTTTGAAAGTTTTTCACATTTTCACTTGTGAGTTCTACTGATGAATTCTATTATTATACTCTACCAATTGTGTTCCTTTTCATCCACAGACAATATGAGATCACTAAAATCTTAATTTTTGGGGGGTACCGGGGATCGAACTCAGGTCCTTGCGCTTGCGAGGCAGGTGCCGGAACCACTGAGCTAAATCCCCGGCCCCTTAATGTTTTTTTTTTTATATCCTCTTCCCTCTCCTTCAACTCTTAGTCTTTTTCCCACATGCAAAAGATCTATCTCCCTATTTCCTATTATCTATTTTTTCCTTGGCTTTCATCTATTTATACTTTGGGTTTGTCACGTAAGAGAAACTATGCAATATTTATGTGTGTCTGATTTATTTCACTTAACATTTTGGTCTCAAGGTACATCTATTTTCTTACAAATGACTCCAATAGAAAGCAACTAAAATTAGGATTCTAATTTTCCTCTTGTACTGAGGGGATTGAACCCAGGGCTTTCTGCATGATAGGCAAGCAATCTACCACTGAGCTACCTTCCTCAGTCTGGATTTTTTTCTTTTTAAACTTTGTGTTTTGTGAGACAGGGTCTTGCTGTGTAATCCATGTTGGCCCTGAACTTACTGTGAAACCCAGCCTGGCTTTGAATTTGAGTACCTCTTGCCTTAGCCTCCTGAGTGCTGGGATTATAGATGTAAGCTACCATATCAGGCTTAAATTTGATTGAACTTTTCTTCACGGGGCCTATTAAATACCAAGTAAAAAGAAAACCAGTTGCTGAATAAAAAAATACATTAAGGTTTTTTTCTGTAAATTCAGTATTTGCTCTGTGAATAAACTTGATAGCTAAAATACTTAAAGAGTAGTTCTAAACAATTTAATTTTTTAAATAAAAAATTCACTTAAAATCAAGCATGGCTGATTGTACTTATAATACCAACACTCAAGAGGCTGAGCCAGGAGAATCACCAGTTCAAGGCCAAGCTGGACTATACAGTAAGACTTTGTTTCAAAAAAATAAATAAATGAATTCAGTTAACTTTTAAGTTCAGCTGGAAAATCTTATTATTGAGTATCTGAATTGTGCCACGTAAAATTTTTCCATTGCATTACATGAAAGACAAAAATTTTCTGAAGTGATATATCCTGAAGCTAATTATAATGGCGCTCCTACCTAAAATCAGGTGCATTCTGTCTTTGTTAATTTCTGGCAAAGTTTTAGCACTGGCTGTTGCTCCTGATGCCTGGTTTAAACTGACAGCTGCAGAACGTTTTTGTGAACCAGACCCTGCTGGTGCTTCTGTGGACTCCGAACATGTAAATCCTGTGCTATTTAACCAAAGTGCCACTGCATGGAGAATTGGAGCCCAGGAATTCCGATAGTGAAGCCTGGCTGTATCAATAGTCTCTGGTGTATAAAACGCTCCACCTGTAAAACAACCAATCAATTAAAAACATTACTTTCTATTATAAGTGTTCACTCACTTATGAACAACTAACTTAAAACTACCTTTTTCATACAGAAGCACAATCTGGCCAATGAGCTTTTCCTAGGCACACAAACCACTTTACCCAGCTGCTGACCTGCAGTGCCCACCTCTCCCTCATGGATACCAGCTGTGGAGCCTCTCCTCTGTGCTGCTAGTGCCACTAAGTAGCCTCATCTTTTCCAGCCCTGTGGTCACAAGATTTACTTCTTCACTTCACCTCCACTTTTTACCATGACCCGCCGGGGATGTAGCTCAGTGGCACTGTGCTTGCCTGGCAAGCACAAGGTCCTGAGTTTGATTCCTGGAACTCTCCCCACCCACCAATCCTTCCATGACCAGAGATTTGGTCTCCTTTCTCTTTCTTTTTGTTTTGTTTTTTGAGACAGGGTCTCACTGTGTAGTTCAGACTGGCCTTAAACTCACTATGTAGCCCCAGCTGGCCTCAAACTCACAGCAATCCTCCTGCCTTTGCCTCCAGAGTGCTGGGATCATGGGCGTGCGCCACCACACCTGGCTCTGTCTCCTTTCTGTTTTTTTGCTCTTCTGTTATTCTTCCCCACCTCCTGTTTCTAATACCAACATTGAGGATTTCCTCTCTTTGCTATCACGATTAAGGAGGAGAAAACTCCATTATTGTTATCATTACTATATGGGAAGAGTAATGGATTCTTTGAATAGAAACTGCTAATACATTTTCTAAATAGGAAAAACGTTCATGATGATTTCTATATCAATTTCAATAGAAAAATTAAAGTATCAACAAATTGCATAGGACTTTAGGCATCCAAATGATTTGTAGAGTAAGATCATATGAAAATACATAAGAGTGGACTTTAGACTTACAAAGTCCATTCGTTCACAAGGGCTGGTGGTAATTCCAGTTGGTCAACTGAAGGCTCAGGCTCCTCTACACAGCCTTCAAAGTCTCTTTCCTGTATACAGGCAGATCTCAGTGTCCTTAGGGAGAAACTGGCCCAGGGTTTCTCAAATAGGAAAGGATGCGGTAATGTTCCTTCCAGAACTCTTTAAGAGTTAAATTTGTATGAGACCATCTGGAAGCACAAGTGGCCAGCATTCAGGTCATAACCCAAGTTGTTTGCATGTCACGCCAGTCATAATTCCAGATCCACTATGTATTGACCAGTGCAGGAGTATACTTCACCGCTATGCATAAGACTTGCTATCCAAAGTTATTTAAAGTACCCTCATTCATACAGCTATTACTGTAACAGTACTAACATTTTTACTTTAGCTACAAAAAAGCTTTATATTGTAGTGCCTTGAGTCTACAAACTCAATATGAAGGACATGTTCTAAATGAAACAATGTTAAATTTAAGTCCACAAAACTGTAAGATGCTTTTTTTCCATTTTGCTTAATTACTACTTTGAACTCCCTAAAAGCAACATCCCAAATGCCATACTTACCATCTGGAGGGAGCTGACTAGAAAACTCAGCTGGTAAAGTCAAAAGTGCATAGTCTTTCAATGCTGCCAACCACAGCCTGCTAAGTGTTGGCAGTTCAGGTTGTACCAGTGTTATTAAACTATCTGGTGGTAGTTCATCTATGGTACCGTAGTCATCATCATCATCATCAGTACTTTTTGTTGGTCTTTTTGGTTTCGACTCTGCTTCCTTTTTAATATTCATAGCAACCACATATACCTAATCAGACACAAAAGAGGTGAAAATAACAAAGAATAAGATAAAAACTAAGATATTTAAAGTTACCATTATAATGTTGAATTATCAAAGATAATCTGGTATAGATATGAGAAATTACACAACTTCATGAATTCCTAATAACTACAAAAGAGTAACCACCTGTTTTGGAAACAATTTTTTTTTTTTTGGTATCGGGGATTGAACTCGGGACCTTTCCCTTGCACGGCAGGCGCCGGAACCACTGAGCTAAATCCCCAGCCCATTGGAAGCAATTTTAAAAACTGACCTGACTGCTGAGGATTTAGCTCAATGGCTCCGCCCCCTGCCTCGAAAGTGCAAGGTCCTGAGTTCAATCCCCCGTACCAAAAAAAAAAAAAGAAACAAAAAAACAAAAAAACTGACCTGACTACCACTCCCACCACATATTCCTTGAGTAGGCTTCTCTGAACTTTTTCTGGCTTCCTTTGTTCTATTTCACAAAGCCATCTTTTCTTTTCTCTCTCTTTTTTTTTTTTTTTGCCGTGGGTTATAACTTCCTGTTTACTATTTCTACTTTTCTAGACTTATTAGATACAAACAGACAGCATTCAAAGAAAAAGACTGAGAATAGTGAGGTGGCCAGAGAAAGGACTTCTATAAATATCCTTTTATACCCCTTTTTATATAGTCCTTAAATGATATTTAGCAATTTAGCAATTGCAACAGATAGCTGAGTTAAGAGTATAATTTACTAGTCAAATATATTATCGGTATCCTCTCTCTCTACTTTGTGAACCAAAAGAACATACAGTAACAACTTTTCTAAAACATAATTTTAAAGATTCTTCTTTGAATTTATTTTTTGTACATACATTTAATTTTTGCAATTGGCACATACAAAACTGAATAACATTAATGAAAAGGAAAAAATAAGTGTAAGAAGAAAAATTTGCACTACATAAAAATCTGGAGAAAACCTAGCTAATGTAACTTCCACTGTAAGTAATGAGGAAATCTGTCTATATGGGTACACTTGAAGGGAGAGACTGTGTCTATATTCCTACACTGAGCAGACAGCTAAAACAGAGAAAGCATATAAGAACTGCTAACCTCTATAGTAGAGACTTTGGATTTCAGGATATAAAAATATCACATTAATATTTCCAAGGACTTTTAAGTTTGTTTTTGCTCTAAATTTGTTATCATACTGATACTGAAGAACATGTCTCAATAAGCACTTTATTTGGGGGGATTTTTTTGAGACAAGGTCTCACTATGTAGCTAGCACAGGCTGGCCTTGAATTCTCAGCAATGTTCCTGCCTCAGCTTCCTGAGTACTGGAATTACAGGTGCATGGTACCACTCCTGGCTTCAATAAGCACTTTAACTATATTCAGCCATTCATTTGAAACCTTAGTAGGTATCTTCTGTCTTGCATTTGTTATTGTGTTAGGATCTGAGGCAATAAAGAAAAATAATGCATGCTTTTTTGAACTGCTAGACTAATACAATGATAGAGGAATTAAAAAAATGCAGACAGATGGCCGGGGATTTAGCTCAGTGGTTTCGCTGCCTGCCTCTCAAGAGCAAGGACCCGAGTTCAATCCCCGGTACCAAAAAAATAAAAAAAATAAAAAATGCAGACAGAAGTATTTTTGTTTTATTTTTTGAGACAGTCTACTATGTAGTCCAGACTGGCCTGGACCCCAGGCGATCCTCCTGCTTCAGCCTCTCAAGTTCTGGGATTATAGGCATGTGCCACCATACTGGGCCAAGAGAAATAATTTTTTAAAATCTGCTTTTAATGATCTTCCTCACCACATTCCACCCAGTGGCTGGGCATAGGGTCTCAGACCTAGTGAACAGTGACGGCTCCTGTAGTGAATGAATTCATTTCAGGGAGCACCCAGGATGGATGGATCTTGGGAGTATGAGAAAGGCAAGGCAGAGTTTTCAAGGTCAAAAGTTCACTTGCTCATAGGCAAAGATAAAAAGGGTTGTAGGCAGAGAGAATAGCAAGAAGAGCATAAAAATAGGAAACTGAATGGCATTTTGAGAGCTGTAGGCTTTGGTATGACCCGAGTACAGGATATGAGGTGGGAGTGACAGGTAATTTTATTGTGTGGGCGATGAGGGAAATGGCGCACCACTGCAGGATTTTAAAGCCACATGTATTTAGGGGCAGGTGTCAACAGTTTTGCCATGCAGTCTATGGTAGCCTTGAAACTCACTATGTAGCCCAGGTTGGTCTTAAACTTATGATCCTCCTGCCTCAGCCTCCTGAATGCTGGGGTTATAGGCATGTGCCAACACGCCCATCCAAGTATATGTATTATTTTAATAACTATGCTATACAAAGTTTGGAAAATAAGAATTTAGAAATGACTCATAATTCCATTTTTCCACGTTAATATACTATCTGTGGGGCCGGGGATTTAGCTCAGTGGTTTTGCTGCCTGCTGCGCAACCACAAGGACCCGAGTTCAATCTCTGGTACCAAAAAAAAAAAAAAATATATATATATATATACACTATCTATGTTAGTCCTAATTTTGCTGTACAGAGAATTTAGTACTAATTTTATCAATTTTCTTATGTGGATATTAATCTTCATCACTGTTATTCTAATTGCTACAGTGGAGGACCCATGATATATCTAACAAGTTCCTTACATGTGAAATCCTATGTTTACTTCTGATTATTTAGCCTTGGACAACCCAAAGACAAAAGCTGTTCACTTCTTAAAACTATAAAGTTGCAAATAAACATTTTTGTAAACTTATCTCTTTTCCATGTAAGAAAAAAGGCCCAGAAATGAAATTACTTGGTCACTGATTATAAATATTTTTATGGTTCTAAATACATACTGCCAAATGATTTCTTATACTTTTTTCCCCACCTGCAGATCTGGGGATCAAACCCAGGACCTTGCACCCTGAACCTTTACCAGCTTTCTAAAAGGGTTCTGTATTTTATACTATTATTTGCAACGCATGAGGACATATTTTAAATTGTTTTTAAATGTCTAGGCTTTTTAAAATTCAGTCTTACAAGCTGGGCATGGTGGTACATGCCTGTAATTCCAAGACTCAGTAGGCTAAGGCAGGAGGATTAAGGCAGGAGGCTAAGGCAGGAGGATTAGTTCAAGGCCAGCCTGGACTATAGAGTGAGACCCTGTCTCAAAAAAACAAAGAATAAAATAAAAGTATTACATTAAAAAATTAGCAGCATGTGTAAAATAAAGAAAACAAATTACACACAGTCCTACTACTCACACACAATGCTGCTAACATCCTAGATATGTTGTATATACACACTCATGGTCGGTCTTTTAAATAAAGTGTGTGTGTGTGTGTGTGTGTGTGTGTGTGTGTGTGTAATTTCTAACTCAATTTTCTCTTCACTTGACACCATCATCTTTTGGAATAAAAAAATACATTTAAGTTATTTCAACTTTTTTTCTAGGGGAGGATTTTTTTGTTTTTTGAGACAGGGTCTTGCTATGTAGTTCAGACTGGTCTTCAACTCACTGTGTAGCCCAGGCTGGCCTCGAACTCGAGGCTCTTGAGTGCTGGGATCACAGGTGTGCACCACCACGCCCGGCTTATTTCAACTTTTTTGAGAACAATAAGCACCACAATAAAGTCTTTGCAGCAGAATTTTTGTGCGTATCTTTATTTTTTAGGATAAAATGGTCAATGTGTATATTTTATTAAAAATTGTTTTGAAATATATAACGCCTTTAAAAAGTTTTACTAATGCTATTTTTTTTTTCCCAGTACCAGGGATCAAACTCAGGACCTCACGCTTGCCAGGCAGGCGCTGTGCCTCTGAGCTATGTAGAATGTTTTATATTTCTTTTCTTTCTGTGTTTATTGGTAGCTTTGTTTCCTCTTTGTGACTTATCAATTCATATTCTTTGTCAAGGGTTTGTATTTTAGACACATCATTCTGAGAATCTGTTCAGAAGCAGCTGGGAGAAAGAAAAGAATAATCATAGAAAAAAGGAGTGCGGATCAGCACTACAAGCTAGGCGACAGCCATGAGGACACAGGCCAAGGCAGCAGGGAAAGCGAGCAGCATTTACCTACAGATATGGAAAGGTGTACATGACTGATTTCTGAGGAGTTGTTTTTAAAGCTGCTATGTTGAATAGGATTCCCCTTTTATTTTGAAAATAAAGATACACACACTATACTGATATACAGAGTTTTCTTAGACATATGTAGAGTGATACAGACCAAATTATTAACAGTAGTTATCTCTGGGTGATAATACTACAGATGAGTTTTATTTTTATTTTCATACTTTTTCTCTATATTTGGAATTTGTAGGTAAGCACAGATTTTTTTTTTCTTTTAAACGAGACAGGGTTTTGCTGTGTTGCCCATGCTGAGCTCAAACTCCAGAGTTCAAACAATCCACCTGCCTGAGTCTACCAAGTAGCTGGGACTACAGATATGCACCACTGTACCCAGCTTGAGCACAGATATTTTTATCCAAAGAACAAAATTATGCTATTTTCATATATATTAATGAAGGAAAATAAATAGGAATTAGTTTCTTGTTGAATATAAGATAGGAATGAGTGGTTGAGGAAGAAAAATTAGTTACGATTAATAATCATGTTTTGAAATTATAGGATAGTCTCAAAAACTATAGGGGAAAAATAAGGAAAGAGAAAACAGTTTTACTGAGACGTGTGTGCATGGTACCTATGGGTCATCCGAGTAGATGGCTAGTAAACAACGAAAAATATGGAACTGGAATTTGGGAGAGGTACTGTGTAATACACAAGTAAAAGCTATAGGCTATGGGTATTAATGAGGCTACAAAGTGAGACGAGTAAGAAGACACAAGAAAAATACCAATATTATTATTTTTTTGTTTTTTGGTACCAGGGATCGAACAAAAAATACCAATATTTATCTATTTATTTTTGGTTTTTTGAGACAGGATCTCAGTATGTAGCTCAGGCTGGCCTTGAACTCACAGTTACCCTCCTGCCTCAGCCTCCCATG